CACGCGGCGCATATTTCCCTACCACTTATACAAGGCCCGTGAGAGCGCGGTGGCGGGTTCGCATTTGTTCGAGTACTGAAGTTTTCGTCAGCTAATGTACACGTTTGTATCCGCATACCTCGGCAGCGCAAAAAAACAGGGGATTTGGGGGGGAAAAAAGACGAGAAAGACTGGAGAAGGTGTTGGAAAAGGGAAACAAAAGAGAAGCGCACGAGAAGGAAAGCGAATGAGCAAGGAAGAAAAAACATACACTTGACAACACTAGCCCGATCCTCGCCATCCAAGCCCCCAATCTCCCCCCCAGCCTCGCCCTCGTCCTCCTCAAGCACAGCATCCAACATCTGAATCGCCGTGAAATAATTGACATCGCAGCCGGCCAGATTATGCCCCGTCAGCTCATCCACCGCCGCCTGCCTGCTCATCTCGAGCGCACGATCATACATGAGCTTCTCGGCCGTCACCCCCGTCGTCAGCAAGATATTTTCCGCCGAGCCGACCGTGGTGGCGGAGACGGAGGCCGTGGTCGACAGGTTTTGCGGGTGGGCGGGGTGGTCGGCTGGGAGCTGGAGTTGGGCGTGTTGGAGTTTGAGGGCGACGAGTTCGGATTTGGCGCAGCATTCGTTGAAGCGGTCGCGGACCCAGGAGACGACTTGGCTGAGGCGGGTGGAGCTCGGGGACGTGCGTGCGCTGGTGTCGGTTTTGCGGCTCCAGTAGGCGCCTGTGACTTTCATGGCTTTGCTGAGGATGGCGAGGGCCTTGAGGTAGAGGACGAGGGCTTCTTCGGAAATCACAATGGCCATGTCTGGCGTCAGGTCCTCGTCCTCGTCCTCGTCTTCCATTAGATCGCTGCTGGCCTTGCGGGCGACACCGGCGGGCCCGATGCCAAGGCCCTGATCGCTTGGGGCGACGGGCACAATCTGCTTGTACTTGACTTCGGCGAAGCCGCAAATCACGTGGCTCATCTGCGCGAGCTCTTCAATCTTCTTGACCACCGCCGAGTCCTCGTCTCTACTCATCGTCCTTGCACCCTCTCCGACGATGAGCATGCCGCTCTGTGCGGCCGGATACTGGGGGAACCCAGAGTAGCCATGGGGCGGAGACAGACCCTTGAGGACCGGAGGCGACATGCCCAGGCCGCGGATGTTGACCATGTTCATCGCCTTGGACAGGGCCGAGGTAGCGCTCTCAAAGCTAGGACGATAGGGACGTCGGCGCTCGTACGAGGCGGCGCGTTGGTGCACCTGGGCCGGCTGTCGCTGAATGGCAATGGCCTGGGACGGCGCAGAGGCGGGAGCGGGAGGCGTTGCACCGGCCGTGGAGGTGGGCAGGCCTGGTGTGGTCGACCGCCGCTTCATCCTGTTGGCTTGGTGGTTGCCCGCTCTGTCGTACTTTGCCTGTGGACTGTGGGCAATCTCGTCGGCCAACGCATCAATCTCCACCCGACGCTTCTCCACAAACACAAAGCCGTCGTCGATGGCGTTTTCTTGCGCCGCTCGCTCGGCAGCTTCCCTCAGTGCGGCTGCCTCTGCCCGCTGCGGTGCTCGCTCACGGTCGAGGTGCTCCCTGCGTCCCGAGGGCGCGGGCGCCTGTTCATCGCGAGAGGACCGTCGCCGATGTCCAACAGGGCTCGAGGTGGCCGCTCGATCTTGCAGCATCACGGGCCGGACGGGCGCGGTAGCTGCGTTGGTCAACGCTGGCCTCTTCTGCTCACGCGATCGGCCGTGCTCGTCAATCGACTCCACCGGCGCATTGCTCGCACGTCGAGCGGTCGAGGCTCGCGGTGGGGTATTCGACAACTGTCCAGACAACGGTCGGGCGCTAGGGCGGGCGGGCGGGCTGGTCCCCACTCCCGTCGTGTCGTTGGGTGATTGTGAATAGGGAGTGTCGCTCGCTCGCCTGCTCCGCTCCGTGGGCATCTTTTGCTGGACTGGCTTGGGAGGCTCCCGCAGCGGCTCCGGCTCGGACGTGTGCATGGATTGCCGAATGTCTTCATCGACCAGATGGGGAATCACATCGCGGATGACGGGGTCGGCGAAGAAGCTCTCGTACGACATGCGCTCGGTCGGCTTCTTCTTCAACAAGGCGCGGATGAGCGTCTTCATGGCCCTGCTAGAGACGATGCCCTCGGGAAAGCGAATCTGGTCCCGGCGCTCTTCAATCTTGCGCAGCAGTTCGACATGGTTGTTGGCGCGAAAGGGCGGACGCGCGCACATCATCTCAAACAAGACGGTGCCAACAGACCACAGATCCGCCTTGGCGTCATACTTTTCGTAGCGCAAGATCTCTGGGGCCATGTACAGGGGCGAGCCACACAGCGTCTCGGCGAGAGACGTGGTCGGCAGGATCCTGGCAAAGCCAAAGTCGGCAATCTTGAGCATGGGGAGGGACTCGATGCCGGTGGCGGGGATCAGGGAGTTGGCACTGGCGGCCAGGGGCATGCGCTCGAGGGTGCCACTCTGCGAGTAGAACATGGACGAAGGGTTCAGCAGCAGGTTTTGGGGCTTCAGGTCACGGTGGATGTAGTTTTTGGACCTGATGAATTCCAGGGCACTGGCCATTTGCTTTGCAAAGTGGCGGACAATCACTTCATTCAACCCGCCCACGGCCGGATTCGGATACTTTTCCAGCATCCGCTGTGTCTGAGGGTGGTTGACGAGGTCGGCGCGCTTCTTGATAAAGGCAGACAGGTCGCCGAGTTCGCAAAACTCCATGATGATGTGCATGCGCGAGGGGGCTTCCTGGCAGTCGATGAGCGAGACAATGTGCGGGTGGTGCAGGCTGCGGAGGATGGCTATTTCGGACACGAGATTGTCTTTGAGCTTCTTGTTGAGCTTGTTCATGTTGACGGACTTGATGGCGACCGACGCGCGCTTTTCCTGCCGTAGTCGTCAGCGTCCCTGGCCGCCAGCATGCCCGTGGAGGATGGGATGACTTACCGTGTGAATGCCCCGGTACACCTCCGCAAAGCTGCCCTTTCCAATATGATCCATGCGCTTGAACTTGCCGATGATTTGCTCGGAAGCGGGCGAAGAGGTCGAGGTCGAGGGGGATGCGCCCGACCTCCGCGGCGCATATGGGTTGGAGGGAGTGGCCATGGTGGCGGCACAGGCTCGACAGCCGGCCGAGTGCTCTTCTTCGTCTCTGTCTACGAGCGTGGCCAGGCTTCAGCTACCAGCGCAAATGTGGGTACAGGCTGGCCGTGAGAGGGTTGCACATGGGCTGGCGACAGTGCAGCGACGGCGAGGGCGTGAGGGGTGGCGCGCGTTGGTGGCGGTGGGTTCAGACGCGCAGTAGATGGATGAGTGATTTGCTGGGGCGATGTAGTGGAGAGTGGACAGATGGGGTGAGGAAGTCAAAGGTAGCTTCTTCTGCCTTGTGGTCGTCGTGGTAGTCGTGGTGGTGGTGGTGGTGGTGGTGTTGATGTTGTGCCTGGGCTATCGATAGCGACTGGTGGACGAGGAGTGATGGATGGCCGCAGTTATGGTACCGGTACCGGTACGGTAGGGTACAACGGCCCGTGAACAGCAGCAGCGGCGGCGGTCTTGATCAACAACGACGACGACGACGACGACGACGCGGGAAGTTAGGATGGATGGTATTGGACGACGAGACGGGTGATGGACGATGGATTACAATATGGCTAGAAGGAGGAGAAGGAAGAAGCAAGAAAGAGGAAGACTGTAGGTGGCAGAGGCAGATGTTCGATACAGTGGTATAGGTAGTGGTACGGTAGGGTAGAGTACGGTAGGGTAGGAGAGGTAGTACGGGTCCGAGAGGACAAGTCGAGGCAAGTTGGGGGTGGGGTGTGGTCAGGACAAGGACCAGGAGCAGGACGCAGCTGGTAGACGGTACGAGGGAGAGGGAGAGGGAGGGAGAAGCACTTGCAACAACTCAGGACAGGACAGGACAGGACAGGACAGGACAGGACAGGACTGCGAGCACCACCGTGGACCAGTCAGTCAGTCAGTCAGTCAATCAGTCAATCATTCAGTCAGTCAGTCAGTCAGTCAGTCAGTCAGTCAGTCAGTCAATCATTCAGTCAGTCAGTCAGTCAGTCATCCAGTCAGTCATCCAGTCAGTCATCCAGTCATGGGGGATCCTCTTAGCGCCTTTTGCTACTGTAGGTACCTACCATGCCAGTGCCCAGTAGCAATGGCATAACTGTGAGCATAACCCTTACCCTACCCCAGCCAGTGACCAAGTCTCTCCAGTCTCCACCCTCCTTCGCCCCATCTAATCACTGTCCAGCACTACACCCTACCCTAAACCTACTCGTCCTCTAGGAGTACTACCAGGAGTATCTACCCTACCCACCCCACCCCGATACGCCGACAAGGCCAACGCACGCAAACAAACACACCACCACAACACGCAAACCACAACCCTCCAGGCACCCCATCCACCCCATCCCACCTGCACAAAAAAAAAAAAAAAAAAAGAACCCTCCGCACACAAAGTCCACTGACCCCGATTGCAACCGTGACCCCTTTTGCCTCTTCTCTTTCCTCTTGCTGCACACACCCCCTGGCACCTGCAGCCCCTCACGAGTACCCCGAGACGCGAGAGCAGCCCGTCATGTGGCTGTCCCAATGACGACGTCGCACGCCATTTGCTCGAATGTGTACTCTACATCACACACTGTCTGAGCGAGTAGAGTATGGCATCACGATGTTGGAATACCCACGGTAGCTAGGTACCCAACTTTCCATCGGCTGGGAGCATGGTAGCTAGCTTGGTAGACGCAACTGTCACGGCATCTACCTACCATCCCCATGGGTACATGATAGGTACCATGCTCTACTCTACCTACACGTTATACACACCATCGCGCACCAGCCAGCTAGCCATAGGACATGTCCTCAACCACATCCCCATCTAAAAACAACCCCTGATGCAATGCACAGTCCCAGATCTCCTCTACCGCACTACTTGTACCATCCCATCCCATCCCATCCCATCCCATCCCATACATGCCCATCCATCTCCCATGCCCATCTCATGCACAACACACATGCCCACGCCCATCATACCCCTCCCACCTCCCCACCTCGCGCTCCCACGCGCCCAATCACAGCCCAGCTTGTTCCGCACACGCTCCCCAGCCACAGACAGCCCAGCCACATCATCGCCACCGTCTGATCGCGCAGAAGACGGGCATCAAGAGAAGACCACGTGCGCGGCCCCAGTCTAGTCCAACCATGCCACAACCTGCCGCAGCACAAGAAAGCCGATCGAAACCGTACGACCACCGGGAGACCCGGGGGAGCCTGGGGGAGGATGGTGGTGTACGAGGATGGTGGTGTACGAGGATGGAGTACAATGTACATGTATACCGTATGCTGTATAGAGTACCCTAGGTATACCTACCTCATACCAATAATGTATGCTGTATAGAGTACCCTAGGTATACCTACCTCATACCAATAATGTATGCTGTATAGAGTACCCTAGGTATACCTACCTCATACCAATAATGTATGCTGTATAGAGTACCCTAGGTATACCTACCTCATACCAATAATGACGCTACGTCGACAAACCCCCCCCCCCGCAACACACATCTTCCAACACCCTCACAACCCCCCCCCCCTAACCAACACCCACAACACAACCGGCACAACCACATTATCATTCCCCCCCGTCAAAACCGCCTCATTTAGACTCGCCCCAAGCGCACACAGCACAGCCTTGAACAGCCAAACACCCGCCTCCCAGACCCCATTGTCCACCGGATCAACACCACCCCACCCAAACCCCAACCACACCTTTCCCCCCACCAACCCAACCACAACCGCACCCGCAAACGCCACCGACCCCTCCACAGACTTACCCCCAACCCAAACCCACCTTCTCCGTCCCCACCTCCTCCCCACCAACGACGCCGCCGCATCACCCAGCCCAACACACACCACGCCCGCCACCATGCCCATCTCGCGCTCATGCGCTCCCACCTCCCAACCCGCCCAGGGCGCCTCGCCTGCGCGCTCTACACCCGCAAGACTAAGCCAGAGCGGAACGGCACAGCCAATGAGCAGAAAAATAGGGGAGACGACGACGGGGCCCCGGAGATCCCTGCCATCTACATACGGGGTCAGAAAGGTGGCAATGGGGCCGGCGAGGGGGGGCAGTTGCGAGGCGCGCAGGATGTCGAGGACGAGGAAGAGGGCGAGGACGAGGGCGAGGGCGAGGGAGACGAAGCAGGGGTCTATGAAGACGGTGGGGAGGAGCATGGCGACCATGGTGCCGTGGAAGACTTTGCGGCGGGTGTCGACTTCGGTGTAGGGGGTGAGGGAGAGGACGGTGGTGAGGCCGAGGAGGATGGTGAGGAGGTAGTAGGCGCTGACGAGGAGGCGGGTGGTGGCGAGGCCGAGGGAGTGGCGGAGGGACTCCAAGGGGGGAAGGGGGAGCGTGTTGTTGGCGTCTGCGAGAGGGGGCAGCGGGATCCAGGCGCCGAGGTTCCAGTTGAAGATTTGCCAGCGGAGGCGCTGGATGTTGCCAAAGAGGTAGGAAATGGCCCAGCCAAAGGGCTCGTGCGAGTGCAGTGCGTATTCGCCAATGGTGTAGCGGATGGGGCCGAGGATGAGCAGGGCGACTACGACGTAAAAGTAGCCTGCGTAGAGCCACTTTCGCAGTGTAGCTTGTGCAGGCGTGAGCGAGAGATAGGATTGAGCAAGCGACTTGGATCGCTTGCGTGGGACATGGCCATGTCGTGAGTTGTGGTCTTGGGCTACGGGCATGGGTAGCGTGTGACTGCGCTTTCGTCCAAAAGTGCCGTCTGCCCAACCATTCGCAGGCTCGAAACCGGACTTCTTCGCCTCGACTGCAGACTGTGGCTCGTTGCCGCTGCCGACGCATCCAGGCTTACGAACGCTGTTGATGAGGCCGAGTTTCAGGCTGTTCGTCTTCTGTAGCTTGGTCTGAAGTGCAGGCTCGTCTTCATCTGCGTCACTATCGCTCATCTCCCTACTCGCCCTGCCCGTACGCTTTCCCAGACTCTCGTTCAGGGTTTGTAGAAACGATGTCCGCGCGCGAACGACTTGTCCTGCACGCCGTAGTCTCCATCGTGGGATACGCGCAAGTGCTACACCCCACTTGAGCACCCTGCCGCACAGAATAAAGAGCCCCAGGCCCCCCATCCACAGGAGTATCTTGAGTATGGAAGCCTGAGGTGATTCCGAGAACAAGAGTAGGTTAATGAGTGCAATAGAAAGCAAGTGGAGTTCTGCTGGGAGTAAGCTGGTGGTGGTGAGGTAGTATAGCGGCGGGAGGAGGGCCTGGTGGAGAGGAAACAGCAGCACCAGCAGGCTTGGGTCTAATCCATCGTCTGGTGAAGATAGCCGGAGTTTATATGGTTTCGGCGCGAGGAACGCGGAGGGAAAATCCGTATTCTCCGCCGCAACCAGGGGGAGAATGGACAGCAGCCAGTGTAGTGTTGAATACCCTACCGTCGCTCTCCGAAATGGAATCAGCCGGGCTGGCAAAGCCGACAGGCCAAGAATGATGTTGGGTAGTAGAAGTCTAGGATTTGAATCGAATAGAGAGATTGATATTAGAACCGGTACTAATGGGGGGTATAAAATGGTCGCAGGGTCGAATGCTGCAGGTACGTGAATGCGTCGTTGAAGGCTGAGTTTGGATTTGCATCTCCACGAGTGGTAGAGGATTCGAACTGGGTATAATGCCAGTAAGCCACCCATGACGAATGCTTGGGTCAGTAGCTCTGGTGAAGCGCATTAGCATGTCTGGGCCGCAGTCTTTCCGCAGCATCACTCACCCCTGTGCCACTCCCAAAGCCTGCTCCGGCAACTACAGCCGTGTAGGGTAAGAAGTCCAATGGCTGCCAGTTCTGCGGTTTCCGTCGTCCGTCGTATGAGTTCCATCCGCCGCCTCTTCCGGTATTTCTGCCTCGCTACCCTTGCTTCCTCGTCCATAAAGCTCGCTTTCCCCGACCGAAGACCGGTCTTGCCATTCTCAAAGTACTCTTCTGAGAGCTTGCGCCCTTGGTCGTCGATTTGCGTGGGCGTGAGTAGAGGGGTGGCCGAACCTTCGGCCTCGGGCCCCTGTGGATCGCGAAGGCCCTTATGCAGTCGCAATGGGGGCGCAGGCAGTGCTTTTACAAGATTGTATCCTTCGTCGTCTGCCTCTGACCCGCTCTCGCTTGGCGATTGTGATGCGGATGTCCGGCGTTTCCTTCCCTCTTCCTCTGATGTCATGTGTTCGGAGGGGTGAAGAGGGGAGGATTGCGGTGTTTGAGACGGAGGCTGTGAGGAGTCTGGTGTGTCCATCCATATCTCATCCTTGTGGCGGAGATAGGGATGCGGCGAGCGGCGGAAGAGTTCGAGGTCCTCGAGCTCGACGTACGTAGGCGCAGCACTATGCGGCTCTGGTGGTACCCGTTGTTCAACCATGTTGTCTTATCTTGTCCCAACTCTTGCTACAGTCCTTGACGATATTTACATTCTTTTCTGGGTCACTGAATGTGTGACTGCGCCCAATTTGTAGATTATGTTAGGCGTGCGACTCGTCGGATGCCGGCAGGCTACAATGCGCTGATGAAGTGTGTGTGAGAGAGAGAGAGAGAAAGAGAGAGAGAAAGCTAACGAGAAGCCAGAAAGGGAGGCGATGATTCACGAACGGTACAAGCTGAACGAAAGGATATGAACACTCCCTTTACACGCCACATGTTACCCTTCGAATCTGTAAGGAATCACAAAAACCCGCACGACGCTTCTCACATGTTCGGTGGCCTGGGGGCGCGATGGGGAAGGCTGACGTTATTGGCTCCACTCAGTCAAGACCCTTTGCGGATAGCCTCCCGTCCCGACAGCCGCATTCTATCCTGTATACCTGCACACACATTACCATGCGCAATCGGACCATTTAGTAAACTATAATCTTATGACGTTGCCCGATTGATTGAAAGTACTGATATCCTGCACGCATAGTATCTATAGGATACATGGGCAGTACATACACAATACACCGCACGCGTCACTTGCTCCTGGCTTATCGATGACAGCATAGCATCAACAACGCTCAGCCACTCTACGTTCGTATGCATCAAATCCACACACAATTCCCTGCTAGATCACGATTGCGAAAAGTGCATCATCCAGACATGGTATTGACATGTCCACATATCTCATCAAGTTGGCTGGCCTATTATGCTCTATCGTACAGAATCATGGTCGCTGTGCCATGCATGCTGCTAGACTGCGTTCCTGTGCTCCCGTGCACACCCTACAACTTCTGATATTCGAGCTTGCCCTCGAGCTTCTTTGATTCGGCCATCTTCCGAACTGCCTTGTTGAAGTCATCTTGGGTGATGGAGTCCCGGTAATCCTTAATTGCAAAGAGGCCGCTGTAGTCACATGGTCAGCTGTATTCATCTTTGCAAAGATATGTATGGTCACGTACGCTTCTGTGACGACGTTGCGCAAATCAGCACCGTTCATGCCATCACTCATCTTGACTATACTCTCAAAGTCAATCTCGCCATCGGTAACCACGCTTGCCGAGTGAATCTTGAGAATCTCAAGACGGCCGACTTCATTGGGCAGGGGAATCTCGAGCTTTCGGTCCAGACGACCAGCACGGAGGAGGGCGGGGTCGAGCGTGTCAGGCCGGTTGGTGGCCATGATGATCTTGGTCTGTCCAAGGTAGTCGAAACCGTCGAGCTGATTTAGCAGCTCCATCAGTGTTCGCTGAATCTCTCGATCTGCCGATGTGCCCTCTGAGAACCTCCGCCCACCAATGGCGTCGATTTCGTCCATGAAGATGATGCAGGGCTCGTGTTCCTTTGCGTATCCAAACATCTCACGGATCAGACGCGCAGACTCTCCAATGTACTTGTCGACAATGGCCGAGGACACAACCTTGAGGAAATTGGTCTCAAGACTGCTCGCCACTGCCCTCGCAAGGAGCGTCTTTCCGGTACCAGGTGGGCCGTAGAGCAGCACACCCTTGGGTGGCTTTATGCCGACTCGCAAGAAGAGTTCTGGGTTCTTCAAAGGCAGCTCAATGACCTCACGCAGCTCACGAATTTGCTCGTTCAGACCACCGATACCGCCAAAGCTAACCTGACCAGGGTCCTCCAACGACATGTTGTAAACGAGGGGGTCGACTTCGCGGGGCAGCATGCGCATTATGGTGAGGGTGGTCATGTCGAGGGCGACTCGGGTTCCCTGCTTCAGCTTGGCCTTGTCGACCTTGGACCGACAGCCGACGACGTAGCGCGGACCTGATGAGGCCTTGACGATGACTGTACAAGAGGATTAGCAGTGTGGGATGTAGTTGGTGGGCCGTAGCTTCTCACATCGTTCCTCGTCCAGCTGCTTCAACACCTCTCCTATTATTTGGCCGACACTCTGTAGCGCCTTGATGTTGTCCTCTGATACGTCAAAGTCGTGCTGGAGGCCCTTGATCTCTAACCGCAGCGACTTGAGCTTAGCCTCCCATTCTCTCGACTCCAACAGCTTGGACTTGTAGCCCTCGAGGGCGTGTTCACGCTCTGGATCGCTGCTGCCGCTCATGATGATGCGATGTGAGGGGTTTTGTCGCTTGTGGACTGTTGGCTGTGGTTCGCGTCTAGAAGAGGCGACTGCGAGCGAAGTGGTACGTCAACCGTCGAGTTTGCCTCCAGAGAGCTCGTGAGGCGAGGGTGAAGGGGTTCCCTAGTAAGTCGAGAAGAGGCCAAGGGAAGGGGAGGAGTAAGCGGTGGCTGTGTGGAGGTGAAGGGCGTATGGATGTGCTTGTGCAGTGTTTACCTCATCGTGGTCTGGTAGTGGTGGAGCTCGGAGGACAGTGGACGGCGTGCCAAGCCAAAGCGCGGGTCGCAGCTTCCAGCGTTCAGTGTTCCTGTCGGCGTTAGAAAAAAGTTGGCCGACCAAATTCATTTCAGCTTCATTCGCCTGCAACTGTTTTGTAGTTTTTTTTTTCTTGCCCAACACCAGACTCCCGCCAATGTCTTCCTCCTTCTTCACCACTCCGGCCTCGCAGCGGAAGAGAAAGCGACCCGAAGGAGAGTCGAGCGCTCCCAAACGCCGCAACATCGACGCCAATGCTTCGCGACCTGCAAGAGGAGGTGGTGCCCGCCGTCCTGAGCGAGAAGAGTCGATAAGTGGCAGTGAAATCTCAGACGAGGATGGCGGCGGCATATTCGACGAGGGAGAGGGCGGCGATTCGGACTCTTCAGACGACGAGAACGAGACGGCGGCAGAAAAACGATTGCGCCTGGCCGAACGTTATCTAGAGAACATCCGCCAAGAGGTCGAGGAAGAGGTGGGCTTCGATGCAGAGCAAATCGACAAGGATCTGATTGCAGAGAGGCTCAAGGAAGACGTGGCAGAGAACAAGGGCAAAATCTACAAGTACATTGCAGACGAGCTGGATTTTGAGCAGGCTTCACATGTGGCGTCATATCCTGGCCTGCAAAAGGCGGTTACTGGGTGCGCACTACACCTCCCATATGCGTGGACCATTAGCAAAGACCTGGTGGTGGAGAAGTGGGAAATCGCAGACCCCAAGTCGTACGCTCCAGACCCCAATCGACCCTCGAACCTCACTCCGCGCCGCACTCCAAAGCGACTCTTGTGGCGGAAAGGCAACAAGAACAAAAAGGGCGACAGGTCCTATCTGGGCCACACAGGCGAAATCATCTCCATTGCCGTCTCCGACTCAGGCAAGTACCTGGCTACAGGAGACAAGCACGCACGCCTCATCATCTGGGACGCCGCTACACTCACACCACGCCACCTATTCACCCGACATCGAGATGCAGTCATGTCCCTCTCATTCCGGAGAGGCACCGAACAGCTGTTTTCTGGCGGAGCAGATCGCGCCGTCATTGTGTGGAGTGCGCCCGAGAATGCCTACATTGAGACGCTGGTCGGACATCAAGATGTAGTCATTGGCATCGCCGGCGGCCTCGAGCTCAACCAAGAGACCTGTGTCAGTGTGGGTGCTCGAGACCGCACCGCCAGATTATGGCGCGTTGTGGAAGAAAACCAGCTCGTATTTCAAGGTGGAGGCACAGCACGGCAAAAGGGGCTGGAAAAGCTACGCAAAGGCCGTTTTGGCAAAAACGTCGACGACGATGACGAAGACAAGCCCAAACACAAAGTCAACGGCACAGACGCAGACGCAGACGACGACGACCCACTCATCCCCTACGCTGAAGGCTCCATAGACTGCATCGCCCTCCTCGACGCCACCCACTTCGTCACCGCCTCGGACAACGGCTCCCTCTCCCTCTGGTCCGACAAGCGCAAAAAACCAATCTTCGTCCTCCCCCTCACCCATGGCCGCGACCCCCGCCTTCTCCCCACACAAATGTCCGCAAACCAGGACGCCGCTGTGTCTGCGCAACCGGGACCCCGTCTCCCACGCTACGTCACGGCCATGGCGACAGTGCCATTTGCAGATGTCGTACTCACGGCGAGTTGGGATGGCTGGATTCGCGCGTGGAAGGTTGCAGGTGATAGGAGGGGGTTGGTGGGGCTGGGTAAGGTGGGTAAGGTCCCGCTCGATCTTGATGACGACGAGGACAATGGCGCGGAAAAACAGGATAGAGTGTTAATCCGTGGTATTGTCAACGGTCTGGCTGTTCAGGAGCGAGGTGATCGCGGCAAAGACGGTCTTTGCATTGTCGCCGCTGTGGGCAGGGAACCCCGTTTGGCGCGCTGGATGACGGGAAAAGTTAAGAATGCGCTTTATGTTTTTGAGGTGGGGAGGAAGGGGTTGGCGGGTGCGTTGGAGGATGAGGCGGAGGTTGGGGGAGAGGAGGAATAGGGAGGAGATGGTGGGAGAGGGTGCAGGGGTTATGGGAGTAGAATATCATGGGAGTGGAGAGGATTTGCATATCCCAAGTGCCCAGAAAAGGGCAGTTGCATATCTGGGATTTTTTTTTAGTTATTATACATTTACATTTGCAACGTAAATGTACATGTATAGGTTTATGTATACTCTCACGTCTCGTCCACTCTGCTACTTCCCATGTGTTTTTTCAATGCGTCTCATTCTCATACATTGCCTTCTTATACCTATATTTTCCTTTTACTCAACCTACGCCCACACTGTGGTTTTTGGTTTTTGTGTGGGTATCGGAAACTAGCTTTCTTTTAGACGTTTTGTTATTGTGTGATATCAAGAGAGAAAAAGGGAAAGGAGGGCTGAGGGAATTAAAAAGTTCCGCATGCTATGCTGTTCAATATCATGATCTTTGTAATGCTGAGTTTAGTCTTGGTGGGATGGAATTCTATCTTATTTTCCCTACTCCTCTTGAACATGTCACTTTTTTCACAAGTATTCATCGACGCTCTATTTGCTCTCCATCCCTCTATCCCTACTCATCCTGCCCTCCACTCCCATCTCCCCCACCCTACCCCTCCACATACCCCAACACCTCCCCCCTCCCTCCCCCCTCAAACACCTTTCCCACCTTCCCAACACAATCCCAACGCATCTCCACCTCGCCGAAATAATTCGCCGCGCCGTCGTTCAGCAGCGTGAAGCCCAGACTGGCGAAGAGGTGGAGGCTGGGTGTGTTGTCTTGGGCGATTTTGACGCGGAGGGTGGTTAGGGTTGGGGTGGGGGGTGTGGTGCTAGTGGGACTGCTGGTGGTGGTGTTGGCGGTCGACTTGTACTGGGTGAATTCGCCTGCAATGGCGCCCGCGTTGTCGAGGATGTAGGATAGAAATGCAAGAAGGGCGGAGCGGCCGAGACCTTTGCCGCGGTGGTGGGGGGAGGCTATCATGATTTCTAATTCGCAGGTCAAGTTAACTGGTTTGGATGGGGGGGAAGATGAGGGGGATATGTGCGAGGTGTGTTGTTGCTGTTGTTGCTGTGAGATGGAAGAATCTGTTTCTCTTTCATCAAACTCATCCACTTCCTCCTCGACAAGGAATAAATTCACATCTCCCACCATACTCTCCGGAGTATCATATCTCCCTGCTCTTATACATTCTTCTTCCTTGGATTTTTCGCCCTTTGCATCGCTCAACTCCCCTTCCCCAGGCGCCACGCAAATAATGAATGTCAGTTTATCCCCATCCTCGCGCCACGAGCGCTGCATCGCATACTCCTCCTCCAAACTCAGCGGTTCAGAGGCTGTTAGTTGTTGCAGCGAGGGCGACTGCATCCAAGTGTGGTATGTGGGCACGTGGTGGGGGGAGTAGGGGACCAGGAGGGTGCGGGGTGTGAGGAGGGCTGGGTATCGGGGGTTAGATCTGGGGGTTATAGGAGAGGTGGGTGGATGGTACCGGTGTTTTTGTTCAGTTTCATTGTTATTACTTTCTTCGGGGGTGGTGTATTATATTGGAATTTTTGGGAGGATATGGGTAGAGTGGGAAATCCCACTTGAGAGTATTTTCCTGGAGGGGGAGATTTGGTGTGAACGTGTGGAGGAAGCGTAGTTTTCTCAGAAAATCCAAAGAGTGTGGTAGAGGCAGATTGGAACTTAAACTTGCTCTTTTGCAACGTTGTTTGAATATATGCATTGGTTTATGTTGCCATGAAGGTCAGAATCGTCGTCGACCATGACTCGTGAGAATTCTTGATTCGGGCAAGCGCCCACTTCACACACTTTCTCTGCAAGTACACGCACGACGTCATCTCAAGTGTTAGAAGCGTCGTTTCGCGTTCCTCGTGCTCCATGCGATCCTGTGCAGATACAGCCTAAAGTGGTGGATTTATCCCCAGTAATTCCATGGTATAAGATCTACCGGTACAGTAGTCCTACGCACCTCGACCTGTACCGGTACCTACCTACTGGTACCACCATGAGCAAATACCGGTACCAAGAGCCACTTCCCACCTTCCCGTGACCCAAACCGTACTCTCCCTCTCCATCAACACCCATCTTCCATACACATCATGGAATCTATCCCCGTCCTGGTAACTGGTGGCTGTGGATTCCTAGGCACATCCATCGTCTCCCAACTCCTAGGCACCAAGCGCTTCGCCATAACAGTCATCGACATTAATCCCCCCTCCCTGGGCAGCGCAACCTTCACCGCCTCTGTCCGCTATGTGCGCGCCAACATCCTCGATAAAGAAGCCCTGCAAAAAGTATTCAATGAAGCGCGGCCATCAATCGTGGTGCATACAGCCGGTCTGTGTCCCGTGGGCTCTGCGCGGTACTCGATGAAGGGCAAGGAGACGGTGTTCAAAGTCAATGTAGAGGGAACACGGAACGTTGTGAGTGCGGCAAAAGAGTGTGGAGCGAAGGGGCTGGTGTACACCAGTAGTAGTACGGTGGTATTCGATGAGTTGGAGGCGGACTTTAGAAATGTGGACGAGGGGTGGCCAACTGGGAGGGCGAAGACGAGCTATGGGATTAGCAAGGTAATTCAACTTCTTATTTCTTTGCTGATTGAATTTCTTGTCCTACTTCTCTGCTTTGATGTCTCCTTTTGTACCTTTCCAGTGTATGGTTCAATGACCGAGTCTCACATACCTCAGACCCTGGCGGAAGAGATAGCCCTCTCTGCCAATACCCACGATTTTGCAACTTGCGCTCTTCGTCCTGCCCCTGTATTTGGCCCCAACGATCCAGGCTGTATCCCCATCATTCACTCCTGTATAGCCGCCGCCCAGACGCCCTTTGTCATTGGATCTGGCACCAATCTGCAAGACTATGCCTACGTCGACAATGTTGCAGACGCCCACGTCCTGGCAGTCAGTAATCTGCTCAACTGCCAAACTGCAGCTGGCGAGGCCATATTCATTTCTAATGGCCAGCCTGTCACCCTAAGGCAGCTTTGTATCGCAGTATGGAAACATTTTGGACACATTCCCAAGTACCAGATTGCGGTGCCCGAGGGTTTAGCTTGGTGGCTAGGTTTAGGTTTCGAGTGGACCGGGTGGATTATGGGGACGGAGGGGCCATTGAGTAGAGGGTTGGTGAGTGATGGCTGTAGGGATCGGTATATGAATCTGTCGAAGGCGCGGCGGTTACTGGGGTACAGGGCCAAGGTGAATCTCGATGAGGGATTGAGGATTAGCTGCGAGCACTATAGAAGGCGCCTGGAGGGGCAGCAGAAGAGGTGAGATCATTAGCACTACCTGATGCTCTGTGGCTGCTAGTGAGAGGTCAGCAATATGTGAAAAATTTCTGAATGGACAGGATCAGCTTTACGCTTTGATGATAGGGTTAGTATTGGTGTGAGGGTGCCAAGAATTCACATCATTCACACCCTGCATGCTGAAGGCAGGTACGTTGATGCTGTGTGCGGTCTCGGAGTATGAAATTTGCGAGAAAGAGCAGGACAAGATGCATAACCTAGGCTCAGTTTCGAGTATAACGTCGAGGGCCGTCACTATTACAGGCCTCATTCGCATGGCCAGGTATGTGTGGGTGCTCAATCCGTTCTTTCCCTCCCTAATCTTGTTGTTATACTGTCTGCTGTATAATATCCATTTCAGTCTGCATGAGACGACTGTTGGGTCGAATATATGGCAAGAACTTCTGCACTTCAATTTGGATCTCGAGTCTCGAGGCTTCGAGGCATGGCCAAAACTGTAGTTGTACTGTAAATTCTGGTTGTATATCACCATGTTGACGGCGTTTGTCATTTCTGGTGCGTCTCTACCCGCCAGCGGCATGTTTGTAAGGTAATTACGCTCTCGAAGCTTGGTTATAATATCTTGCAGCATCATTGCAATGTCTCAATTCGCAGCTTTTACTACAGGATCCATGTATGCCACCTTGTATACTGCAATCACATCACAGCTGCTCGATGCCCAAGGCGGTGTGGGCGTGTTGTGACTGCCCTAATAGTGTGACCCCAAGCGCTTGCCGTAGTCGGAGCCCTTGATCTTCTACAGCTCCCAGCTTTCGTCCCCTCACTCCTACACCACAATCACAACCTAATTTCTCATTCCTTTAGGTGCTCTTCTTTAGTTTGCGTGTGATATTGCTTTACGAGGAGTTCAGGGCGTTCTCACAAAGTAAGCTACACTCTCTTATTCACTGCTATTCACTGCTGTGTCGACGCCCACAGCACGGGTAATGGCTGCGTAGCTCAGCACAATTTGTTGCACACAGACAGCTAGACTACCAGTACCACGTCTAGAATGGTCACTGTCTACCTCAAGCATCGAAACTGACATGATAATGCTAGTTGCACAAAAACTGGCGTTCAACCTTTACGGAGACTTGCTTCTCCGACGACTATCTGATCAGTCGTCACTTCCACACAGTTCAAATCGCAGGTGCTGAGACTTTGGGATAACTTTCCCGCTGTACAGAGACAGATTTTCGAGTCCTAGTAAGTTACAAGTCACTGCTTTCTCATCGTCACCTCTAACCTGTCATGAGCAAAGGGCAACCTAGTACCCTGAAGCCACCTATCTGGTGATCATGCCTAACACCATGTCTCGTGTTGCCAGCCCGGAAGAGGTCCTTGCTTCTTATCAGGGTGCTCCAGCCCTCTACCGGGACTTTAATTTCCTGGACGCGTTGAATCAGATGTCTCGACTTACTCTCCGTCAGCCCGAAGGCGACCAGCTCCAACGCTTCCCCGCCGAGGTTCGTCTTATGATCTTCGAAGAAGTGCTTAGTGCCTGGCCTCAAACGCTTTATCGTGGCGCTTTCACATTCGGACCCCTCGATCCCCACGAGTTCGACGGTGAGGTCCAAGTCTCCTGGCAGATCTTAGCTACTTGCCATCAGTACTATGAAGAGGCTCACCATCTCCTCTATGCAAAGAACCACATGGCCTTCTGCACTACAGCCAAGGGAAAGCCTGGCATGTTCTGGCGTTTCCCGATCCGCCCACATTTCTTGAAATATGTCACCAACCTCAGCATCTTCTACCGTGCGGATGAGCCTACCAAGCCCTCTTCCAAGCGCGTTGGATACTTCATCAAGGCTGTCGCTCGTCTTGCTGTCGATATGGAGCACCTCACTATCCTCATCTCCTCTGACCAGCGCTACGAGCGAGCTTGTCCGTGGGACATCCTCTTCTGCGATCACCCCGTCTCCAAGGCCATCCTCTACACGATCGAGAAGAAGAACGTCAAGAACTTGAAGCTGCGTTTCCATGATGGTGCTAACCTCTTCCCCGGCTTTGCCTGCTTCCTAGAGCAGACATTCCTCAAGGACGGTAAGCCTGTCGACCGCACTCTTACCTTCACTACTTCGTGCTCGTGCGCCCCATACATGGGCCAGCCCAACATCTTCTGCCATTTTTGTCAGTGGCCTCGCTCTACCTGGGACCTCAAGCCGATTGAGGATCCTGTCCATCCCGCCGTAGTCGAGGCGGGCCAGACGCGGATGATGGATATGCAGGATGATCTCTTCAACCTTGGCATCCTGCCCCCCAAGAGCGAGACCGAGGACAAGGACGAGGACGAGGACACGGCTGTGGGTCCTTATGGCGGCGGACCACCCATAGAGGACACCTATGACGAAGATCGCCTCGCTTTCACTCTTGGTGTCCGTCTGCCGCCCCGTAAGCCATGGCCCTTTGTCAGTCGGGTCAGGGCTCCTGCCGTGTGGTCTTTCCAACAGACCAAGATTACTAACTACTATAAAGTACCCTGAGCCTTTCGAGGCAAGATTGGGTACAACATGGTGCACGAGAGTATCGCGTGGGGGGCGAGGTGGAATCCAGAGGGGCAAGAGAGGTGGGGATAGTGCATAAGAGTGTGCCAAGACACTCTATAATTATCATGTAGCTGCATACCATTACAATCAAATGCCTCCACACGACGATATTACAGAATCTTCTCTGCCTCATCTATGAGTGTTTCGACTCGAAATGCACTGTCACCCCTTGTGAACAAGTCTAGCAGCTCTTGCCTTGCCTTGCCTTCCTCACTTTGAACATAGAACTTCTGCATACACATGATCAGCCACCTTGCATCATCCACACTTACCCCCCGTCCCTCCATCACTATGCCCTGACCCAAGACCAAGGCGTGACTCTCTGCCAACTCTTGATGAAAGGTGACCGTCGTATGCGGAGTCGCAAACTCGCCCCTCAACTTGAACTCCGCCAGCGTCGTGAACATCAACGTCGTCGTATCGACATGGGGATGTGCAAACTGCATATAATGCAATTCAGCCGCCTGTTGCATTCCCCCCTCCCCCCCTCCCTCCTCTTCCTTTGGAATCTCGCGCGGCATGGGCAAGACAAACGTAGGATGTTGTTTTGCCGTGCGCATCATCGAGGCAAACGTCTGGGCTGGGACGGCAAAGTGTACGGATTGCTTGTTGGAAGCGTGGCGGAGGCGCCAGAGGGTTTGGATTTCTTGGGCGGGCAAGGGGCGGATTTTTGAGAGGTTGAGGAAGGAGTCTAGGGTTTTGATGCCGGGTGGGGGGGTATTTGGGGATTTTGGGGTTGGTGGGGGTGGAGGGGAGGGCCAGGGGGATGTCGCTGGTTCATCTTTTGCTTGTTGTGCTTGTTGTTGTTGTTGTGGTGGTGGTGTTGATTGTGCGGGTGATACTGTAGATGTGGGGGATGGTGGTGGTGTGAGGGGACCTGTTGCGCCTGGTACGATGGCTTGTTTGCGTAGCTCTTCGATTTTATCCTTGTATTGCTCCTTGAGTTCGTCGAGGTCCTTGAGGCCCTGGGCTTTGGCCTTTTCTTCTAGCTTGGCTTTGTATTTTGCGAGGATGCGCGCTTGGGTGTCGTGGGTGGCGAGGAAGCGGACATCATGGACCTGGGCCCAGCGCCGTTGGGTGAATCGAGGGTTTATCGAGGGTTGGCGGAGAGCATGGCGTAGGGTTTGGAGGCGGAATGCCATGGTGGAGTGAGGGTGGGCTGGGGACGATCTGGTGCTGGTAGCACGGTGGTAGGTACCGGTACCGGCACGGCTTTACGACAGCAGGTGATGTCACTGTCAATTGTTTACATGGACAGATGCAGCTATATGGATGAGTAAAAGGGTTGCGAGTGGTAATTAGATGGTATCATACTTTGCAATGGGAGCACTGTACAGTAGTGTTCAAAGCACAGCCGCAATGCCTCGGATTCGCACCTTCAGATAGCCCGACGGTGATGGTGGAGGAAGTTCTCAAAGAATTCGCGGCGAAAGACGGGGGTTCTGATTGGACAGAGAGACAATGTCGCAGATCGAAGATCGTTTCCTCTAAGGGGCACGGCGCATGTCATCCGGAGATGAAGCACAAGCGCTGCAATCGTTCGTGTTCAGATGCACGCACTGATGCAATGAAACTTGATCTAAGCCAGATCTTAGGGGCCAAACAGCCTATGCGGGGGATGACTTGATTCGAATCACGCGTCGTTTGTGCCTGACTTGGAGGAGGACTGCATGTGTCGTCCTCTGTTCAAGTGTGCAAGGAGGGAGGGGACGCGTCCTCTGCAGGCGTTGCATGTGCCAGTCACTGGTGCCTTGCTGACTGGACTTTACTATGGTAGCCTGTCTGTGTGACTATTTCCCGTCATCGTATTCGTCACTATGACTTGAAGGTCGGGGAGGACTCGAAACCCAAAATAGAAGCCATGATTGTATCTACAGTAGGCATCCATAGGTACACAGTAAGCAATACTACCTAGGACATGGTAGACATCTCTCTGCCTGTTGCCGCAAGCCATCACCGAGGGTTAGGTACCTACCGGTAACGGAGACACGCAATCAAGGGCTGGGTCCTATGTCAAGCACGCCCGCAGTGTCCTGTAGTGTATGTACATAGTAATGGTGTACTACTCTACGGTCATGGTACTTGACCAACGGCTCTCAGCCTGCCGTTTCACCAGTTGACGTTCCTGCGTGACAGCCTTTCCCGCTGTCTGTAGCGTGTAGGTAGGTAGCGTGTGCAGGTGTGGGCGCGCAAAGCATTTCACTGCGATCCCGCCTGCCTTGTGGATCGACACAGCCCACTCAGACCGACTATTGCACATCGAGTGCAGAACGGCGCCCCTCCATCCTTCACACATCCCGCCGTTCCCAAGCGTGCTCTCGTGTCGCCCTTTTACGCATCCTGCGCAGGAGGCTCCAGTGTTATTCAACCAACATCAGCTTAAGGTACCGGTACCTAGCGAGGCGTCCTGACATAGCCGTTTCTCGACCCCGCCCATCTCTAACAATAGGCCCCATTTCGCTACTGCTTCCCTACCCTACCCTCTTCCCCCTCCAGACTCGATCGCGCGCCGGCACCCCATATTAATTAAGCACCACAGCCCTGGAGGAGCCGACTAAGAACCGTGCCACGCCCGCCTGCCAGACTCTCAGCGGAATCTTTCTCACGTCCGGGCCAGGCATGCTCCTGCGCTTTGCTCTTTCAACCTGCGCGACTTGGGCGACTTGGAGCGCTGTTTCTGCATTCTATACCTGAACAGAGCTCTTGCAGCCGTGTCCTGGGTATGGGGGCCGTGAGCAGCAAGGCAGATGAGGGAGGCGCCCTATATCTGCGAGACCAGACTCGATGTATGTCTTTGAAACTCGCACTTCCACCCACCCCCCAATACACAACTTGCGCTGAACAGAGACAGTCTCGGTCGCGTCCCTGAACATCACGAACAACCGCAATCGCACCCTCCTAAACATCACGCCAAACGCCTTTCCCGCGACCAGATACAGCGCAAAGCGAGATGTTGGCGACGACAGCGTAATCGAGTACATCCAGGTACCTCTGACCACCATTCTGCAACACTGTGCATAACTAAACTCTAATTGCAGGACCCTGAAGCCCCCATCCCAGCTGACGGGCCCCCGTCCTTCTTATTGCGCCTGCCCAACGACGAGGAGTTGAATTTCAATTTCACATTCATACTGCGACAACATCTAGCGGTTCCCAGTATATACAATGCAAACAACACTTCGACCGTAAACCAGACAGGACTAGTGGACACATGTATCAATGGCTTGACTTTTATCTTTGCAGGAGGCTCCAAGGAACTTGACAACCTGGTAACGCGCGAGTTCTACGCCAACCCAAACTTGCACAAGAACCCGCAGGTGGAGCTTGTCGGCGACTATTCAACGAGTGGTCACTCCTCGGTACAATTTCAGTGGTCATGGAAGTTTACCCCGCCCAAGACGAATGAGAGTCGTGGTGGGGGATGGCGGACAAGCTGCAGCGCAAGTAAATTGAATTCAGTGCGCTTGGGCAAGGTCTAACTAACAGCCTACAGTTTGTCGAGTATGATCAGCGGGCACATAGGCTTGAAACACTAGCAAACTTCACATTCTGGGTCCAAAGTAAGCATTTCAACTTCTGGGACAAGAAAGAAAAAACTAACGTGGCCAGATACCTCGCGGTTAATCCAGAGCCCAACATCTCCGTCTCCACGAATGGAGCTGAGCGTTCCTCCGAGACTACGGGGGCCTTCTGCGCAATCGATGGACTCCCGAGTGAGCGACTCGGGCGACGACTATAGAGACTGGGACAATGCTGCGCCAAGATCACCCAATTTTGAGCCAATACCTGAGCATAGCCTCGGCCTTATACCGAGCCAGAGTACAACCCTGACGAGTGGAAGTTTGCCAGTCAAGCTGGATGTGTCGCGGCCTGGCGAGGATCTGAGCCAGACGGAAGATGGCCCATTGTTCCGGGCGACCATGAAGGCACTGGAGCAAAAGACGGGCAACATGCGGACACGGTGGAAGAAAGTGCTCAAACGGGCCGAGTCTGCAATGGAAGCGCAACAACAGTGCAACAACGCCATGTCGGATCTCATGGATGCATTGAGAGAAGCTTCGTCTTCAAACGCAAACGCCGTGCAGCCAGCCATTGACCATTATTTCGACAAGATCGCAAAGGAAATCCTCGCCTATGAGCGGTCCAACACCACCAACATTCAGAAGCTAATCATCGATCCCATATATAAGCTCTACAACATCGATATTAAGCAGGCAGAAACCAAGCGCAAGGACTTCGAAGAAGAGAGTAAAGATTACTACCAATACCTGGGTCGATACCTTGGGCAACGGCAGGACTCGCTCAAAGAAAAGAAGCGAGCTGAGACTGATTCAAAATATCAGACAAAGAGGCGGAACTTTGAACTCAAACGGTTCGACTATTCCTCATTCATGCAAGATCTGCATGGCGGTCGCAAAGACCAAGAAGTGCTTTCGCATTTGACGAGATACGCCGATGCGCAAGCGAAGCGCTACCTTGAGACCGCCAAGAAGGTTGAAATGATGCTGCCACAACTCGAGGCGCTGAGTTGTGAAGTCAAGGAGGCAGACAAGGAGTTCCAGATCCAGAGGACAGAACGAGAGGAGAAGCGTCGTGCGCTGGAAAAGAACAAGAAGACCTTTGATGAACCTCCTGCATCGTCTCTGACGTCACCGGTGGCCTCGTCGCAAAGCGTGCCTAAGATAATAGCCAGACAGGACGGTGAAGTCCCTGGCGCAACAAGCCGAAAGGGCAGTCTTGCGCCCATGTTCCAAAGTACTGTTGCTCCACCGAACACAACTTCGCCTCCCAGTATGCCCGCTGCTACTTCGGCTCAGAGTCCGGAAATGGGCAAATCAAATCTGGCGGCGGTGGCACCGCAATCCGACAAGTTCAAAGGAATCAGAGACCTAGAAGAGAAGGATCTGGCCTCGATAACGGAAGCTGGGTCAGGCCCACATCGAAAGGAGGGGCTCTTGTGGGCGCTGAGTAGACCTGGTAGTCATGTCGATCCAAAGGGCCTGAATAAGCAGGCCTGGCACAAGTAAGTCGCATTGTTGCACCACAGTCTTTGGACGTATACTTACTTGCGTAGATTTTGGATCGTTCTGGACCAAGGGAAACTTTCAGAGTACTCGAATTGGAAGCAAAATCTCGAACTTCACATGGATCCCATCGATCTGCGGATGGCATCTGTAAGAGAAGCACGCAATGCAGATCGCCGATTCTGTTTCGAAGTCATTACGCCGCAGTACACCCGCGTATATCAAGCGACGAATGAAGATGACATGAAGTCGTGGATCAGCGCCGTGAACAACGCACTACAAACTGCAGTAGAGACTGCAGGCAAGTCTGATCGACCGTCAACAGATTCTCTACCCGGACAGCAGCATCGAGACATTGCATCAGTCCTTACGGGCAAGAGCCCATCCATGTCGAGTCACCGGAATAATTATGGCTCCAAGGCACCAGCGCGACATGCTACAGTCGGCGATCGACCAGGTGGCTATCGAAAAGAAGAATCATTTGGGGATGAAGGAAAGCTGCTCCGTCAAGTTCGAGAGGCGGATCCCAGCAACAAGGCTTGCGCCGACTGCGGTACGGAGATCAAGGTCGACTGGGTATCTATCAACTTGGGCATCGTCATCTGCATTGAGTGTAGTGGCATTCATCGCTCACTAGGCACACATATTACCAAGGTTCGGTCACTGACGCTTGATGTTACGTCCTTCACTCCCGATATTGTCGAGATTCTACTGAAGATTGGTAACCGCGTCAGTAACTCAATCTGGGAAGCAAGACTAGATCCGGCACTGAAGTCAGGACCAATGTCTACACGTGAGCAGAGGCTGCATTTTATCTCTTCGAAATACTCAGATCGCGCTTTCGTTGCCCCCATTTCGCCGACTGTGTCGCACTATGCGACGCCGGATGAAACGCTACTGGCGTCGGTCAAGAAGAATGATATCCAAAACGTTCTTTACGCCCTGGCATTGAAGGCAAACCCGAATGCACGCGACCGGTCACGCGGGACGCATGTCGTCTTCCTTGCACTTGCAGCAGCAGACCCCGCGTCCCCGTCAGCAACTTCGACGCCTGCAGGCTCACCAAGCACTCGCCCCAGCACCGGCCAGCCTACACGAAAGGCGTTTCCTGTGGCAGAGCTACTTCTTCAAAATGGCGCCGAGCTACCGCTAGTCGCTGCGCCTATACCCTTAAGTCACTCAGCACGGGCTTATCTCGACTTCAAAGCTGACCAACGCGCGGGAAAGCGTACAGTACCGGTCGCGGGAAGTAAGCCTCCCTCAAGCGGCAACGACACTCTCACGGCGCTCCCGCCCATTCTCGCCGGAAATGGTAGTTCCCCAGCGGAGCGAGCAAAGGAAAGGGAGGCACGACTACAGAAGCGCGTGTCTGCGAGTGGGAGGTTGGTCAAGGCCCCCAATATCGATGGCTTCGACAGTAAGCGCGGCTTATGAGCATGGCATTTGCTTACGTTGCTGTTTTTTCTTCAGTTTATACCTATCCTGGGCGGCATGTAGCGGTATCGTACGGTGGGCTTCGACGGGATGATCAGGGCAGGGTGTCGGCGTTTTCTGTGTGAGTAGACTATGATCGAGAGGGGAAATGGGAGCTGGTACTATGCATGGGATGCTATGACGTTAGGAGGTATGGATGGCATGACTATGGGATTGGATAGAGGTGGTGAGGGGGTGGGGCATCATCTGGCGGTCTGCACGACTCCTACGGGTTCATGTCAGCACTCGTTGAGATGGGATGGAGTCGACGGTTACGGTTATGACGATGTCTATGTGGGGGTTCATCATCACACGGCCGTCATTTGTATCGGCTTCTAGCCAAAAGCCAGTAGTTTGTAATGAGTAATGGAGAAATGATGAAGAGCCATAGGGAAAGATGAGTAGATCTCTACACGAAATCAAATCATGCTATAAACTAATTGAAATGTTGTCTTTGCTCTCACTGGGTTATGACATATTACAGTGGTGATATTAAAAGTCGTTCTAGGCAAGACAAACTCAGTGAAGACGTTGCCTCGCGTCCTCCTGCCGCTGTCTTCGTTGCCGTCGTCGTGAGAAGGTGCAGGTCCGTGCGCAGGCCTAGCGCGGATCTGCAGCACTTTGGATTTTGCGACTCCTGCGAAATTCGAGCCCCACCTTGTCGCCCTCTTTCTCGCAGCATCACGATCGCGGCAGCCAGCAAGCATGGCGCCCTCCTATGAGAATCTGCCGCAAGACAGCGACGACGAGTTCGACGAGAGCCAAATCGACTTCACCGACATCGAGGAACAGTTCCAAGTGCGGCTCGATGAGGGACTGGATGCATTTGTCGTCATCGACGGCCTGCCCATTGTGCCCGAAGACAGCAAAGGCAAGCTGGTAAAATTCGTACTGAGGAAGCTGAACACAGTGGGCAAGGTCAAGGAGGATGGCGTGCACATGCCCGTTGGCGACAGCGGCAAGACGGAGGGGTAGGTCTTTTTGCTGTCTTCGAGGCTCTGCCAGGCGACAGGCGACATGAGGGGAACGAACTGAACTGACGGTGACGCAGGTATGCCTTTGTAGAGTACAGCGCGCCCGCCGAGGCTGTCGCAGCCGTCAAGCAACTCCACGGGGCTGCTCTCGACAAGAAGCACACCATGGCCGTCAACAAGCTGACCGACATTGACCGCTACGGCAAGGAGGGCCGCATCGATGAGGAGTACCATCCCCCCGAGATCCCGCCGTTCGAGCAGAAGGAGCATCTGCGCTGGTGGCTTGGCGATCCGGAAAGCCGTGACCAGATGGCCATGTACCGTGGCGAAAAGGTTGGCGTCTTCTGGAACGACAAGGAGGACCCCCCGGAGCCTGTGGTCGACCGCGAGAACTGGACCGAGTCCTTTATTCAATGGTCGCCTCAAGGAACCTACCTCACATCTATGCACGCTCAAGGTGTGCAGCTGTGGGGTGGAAAGGCGTGGAGCAGGCAGAAGCGTTTCGCTCACCCCGGTGTCAACCTGGTCGACTACTCGCCCAACGAAAAGTACCTCACCACCTGGTCGCATCGACCTCTGCAGGTCGACGAGAACAACCCTGTTCCTTCGCTGTCGCTCGAGGAGGATGGCAAGAACTACATCATCTGGGATATCGCAACCGGAAAGCCGCTCCGTTCATTTGCCACTATTGATGTGCCTGGTGGTGTCGATGCGGATGGCATGCCCGTGAAGAAGAAGCTACAATGGCCGACGTTCAAGTGGTCAGCCGACGACAAGTATGTTGCGCGCCTGACCCAAGGCCAGTCCATCTCCATCTACGAGCTTCCCCGGATGAATCTCCTTGACAAGTCTTCGGTCAAGATTGAGGGCATCATGGACTTTGAGTGGGCCCCTGCCACTCCCAAGCGGGCCGACGTCAAGACGTACGAGCAACTCCTTTGCTACTGGACACCCGAGCTGGGCAGCAACCCCGCAAAGGTCGGTCTCATGTCGATACCTTCCAAGGAAGTCGTGCGTACACGAAACCTTTTCAACGTGTCCGATGCCAAGCTCCACTGGCAATCAGAGGGTGCCTATGTCTGTGTAAAGGTCGACCGTCATTCCAAGTCCAAGAAGTCTCTCGCCACCAATCTCGAGATCTTCCGCGTTCGCGAAAAGGGTGTACCCGTCGAAGTCGTTGACTCGATTAAGGATACTGTCATCAACTTCGCGTGGGAGCCCAAGGGCAACCGTTTCGTGCTTATCACTACCGGAGAGGTCATTCAAGGTGCGGCTGTTGGTCCCAAGACTGCCGTCTCCTTCTTCGCACCTGAGAAGCTGAAGGGTGGCGCGATTGGCAACTTCCGTCATATCCGTACCGTGGACAAGAAGAACAGCAATGCCATTTACTGGTCGCCAAAGGGCCGTTTCGTGGTGGTTGCCGCACTGCAGTCACAGCAGTCGTTTGAACTCGAGTTCTGGGATCTCAGCTTCGACAAGCCAAAGGAGGAGTCTGAGAAGGGCGACAAGGAGCTCAATGCCAACTTGCAGCTCATGGACACGCACGAGCACTATGGTGTGACTGATATTGAGTGGGATCCCACTGGTCGCTATGTCGCCACCGTTGCCAGTGCCTTCCGTCACCGCGTAAGTCTTGTATTACTACTGTCATGAACTATGCTAATACATATCAGATGGAAAACGGATACCATCTGTACGACTTCAAGGGCACACTTCTCCGCGAGGAGGCCATTGAAGGCTTCAAGCAGCTTCTCTGGCGCCCTCGCCCACCAACTCTGCTCTCGAAGGAGGAGCAGGCCGAGATCCGGAAGAATCTCCGCAACTACTCCAAGGTCTTTGATGAGCAGGATCTTGCCAAGAAGAGCTCAGCCAACAAGGCCGTTGTTGAGGCACGTCGCGAGATGCTCCAGCAATGGAACAGTTGGCGCGAGGAGGTCACACAGCGGCTGCGCGAGCAAGGCGCAGAGATTGAGCTTGCCGCGCTCAAGGGAGAGACGCCTGGCCAGGCCGCAGATGGTCACCAGGAAGAGATTGAGGAGATTGTCGAGGAGATTATTGAGGAGACGGAGGAGGTTGTCGGATAGATGGATGGACGAGGTTTGGACGAGTGATGTGCTGTGTGCTAGACGGCGAGTGTATAGCGAACGAATGACAATGTGAGATGTATGACGAGTGCCAGACGTGGCGATGATGAATTCATGGATTGATGTTGAGAGGATGGTGTCCAGCTGTTGGTGTTGCACATGTGCTTTTTCATCATGACTCTGTGGTGACAACGCTCCTCGCCTGAGTCAACTTCCAAGACACTTGCAGAACTCCATGTCTACTGTGGAACAACAAACACACACGCCAACCGTACATCTCCCCACGACCATTATTCCCCAACGACAAAGTCGTGCGATTGGGATTGACTATAGTGAGTACCTGGCCAGTAAGCGTACGACGCGTCGTGCCATCTCGATCAGGTTTAGCGTGATTCTCTGTGGAGGATGGGTTTGAGAGAAGCCGAGGTCCGCCAACACGTACGCAGTCTGGACATTTCAGTCACGTTGTTTCACGCAACAGAAACGACACTCGCGTGTGTGTGGGTTTTCGTCCACGGCTGGCTTGAGGTGGTATTGGGAATTCGTCACAGGCACGAAGCGAAGCGAAGCTTTGGAGGCGGGACTGGGATCTAACTAACTACCTACCTACCTACCTTCCTACCTACTGTTTTTGTTTTGGACGGAGGTCCTGGTATACACCGTACTTTCTTCGGCTTGGGGGAAGTCCTGGCATATACTGTTCGCCTTGGATAAGCCTACGACCTATCCACTTCTCACATACAATCATGGGGCCGCCTCCCGCACCATCGACATACCCCTTCGCCGCGTCTCCCGACATCATACGCTCCCACCAGAAAGATGCCTACTTCTCCGGCGTCCTACTCGACCAGCTCTCCACCCTGATTCGCAAGCTGTATGGCGCGCGGATCGCACACACATATCTATCAGAAACACGTGTTTCTGCGGAACTGCTGTACCTCGGACTCACGACGTTGATAGGAAATCGGACGTTGGGAGAAGAGTACACAGACATTGTGCAGGTGGAAGCCGACACAGGTCGATTGCCCGCACTAGGGAGGAGGGCAGGATACATCATCTTCTGCGTACTCGGACCCTATGTGCTCAACAGACTCTTACCCGCCTTGCGAAGAAGAGTCCGAGCCAAACTCGAAGCCAAACTCCGGACCTACAGCCGCCAACACACCAGAGCCCAACACACGGCAAACCAGCACGCCCAAGAAAGCGGTACAAAAGCACAGCAGGTCAAGAAACCAATGGGCATGCGCATCCACAACTACCTTCTCCAAAACCTCGACACCATCACCAGCCCTTCGCCCGTCTACGCCCTCAGCCTCGCAACCTTCTACTTCACCGGCTCCTACTACCACCTCTCCAAACGCATCTGGGGCCTCCGCTACATCTTCACCCGCAACGTCGCCGACTCGGACAACCGCGCAGGCTACGAAGTCCTCGGCGTCCTGCTCGTCCTCCAAATCGCCGTCCAAGCCTACCTCCACCTCCACTCCACCGTCACCTCATCCTCCACCTCCGCCGCCGCCGTCGGAGGCGGCCACCCAACCTCGACCTCTGCCCTCGTCGGCGGCGGCGCAGAAGTCAGCCTCGACCCCACCGCCTACACAACCAACAACGCGCTCCTGACCAGCGCGACCACCACCCCCATTCCACCCACGGATCTGCAAAAATGGACACACACGCCGCTTCCGCGCGCGCCGTACCACGATCTCAGCGATGGGGAGAGTATGCAGTGGATCGAGGGCGGGAATCGCAAGTGCACGCTTTGTCTCGAGGAGATGCGGGATCCGACGGTTACGACGTGTGGGCATGTGTTTTGCTGGGGTTGTATTGGGGATTGGGTGAGGGAGAAGCCCGAGTGTCCGCTTTGTAGGCAGGGGGTTGGGGTTGCGCATTTGTTGCCGCTTCGGGGGTAGGAGGGGGGAGATGGAGAAAGTTTTGATGATCTCAAGGGTCTGTCTATTTCTGACGCCGGGGTTTTTTTTACGTCTCACGTTGATGTGGGTTCATCGTCTGCCAAATGAAGAAAACATCTATCCCGGCCACGACCCGAAAAACACCTCATTTTCCCCCACGATTTCCCTTGCTCCCTCACCTCTCCTCCTTGTCTTTCCCAACATCAACACCACTGCACCCACGCTCCTCCCTCCTATCTCCAAGACCCCACAGTCCATCTCACACATCCGTAGCAGCTCAGCATATAAGCGGCGATACATCTGTTTACCGCGATATACGACGGGAAACGTATCAGGAACGGAGTATGCATGGGCTGAGCTGAAGTACGCGTACTACGATACAAATACAAGGTATATCAGCTCCATATCATATCCATAT